TACAGTAGGGAACCGATTATCCGGAACGATCGGGACCATCGCTATTCCGGATAACTGATTTTTCCGGTTTTCTGAATCGCTACAAAAAGCCGTTTTTTTTATTGTTAAACCCAACTAAAAAAAAAAAATATTAGGAAATAATCTTAAAAAGAAGAAAAAACGATGAAGTAATACAGTAATGATTATTTCTGAAATGATGGGATGGTAAACATCTTTCAAAAAAAAAAGAAAAATCCTAAAATCGTATGAGGAAAAAAAAATTTAAAAAAAAAAAATGGCGGGAAAATTTATCTAATTTTGTTCTGGTTTTTTGGTTTTCTGATTTACGGATAACGGGTTCTGTACTTTACAATAAAAAATTTAATATTAACTGTATATAATTGTTGAAAAAAGTCATGAAGTCAAATGTGCAAAAACGGTAAGATGATAAGCGCATCTTTGATGCAGAAGTTCTTAGACGGTCATTTGACCGGTTATTGTGTGCTTAGTGTTAGTTAAGATAAGACAGTAATTATTTTCAAAAATTTTATTTGCTGATATTGTTGAAAAACTTACTTCAAATATACAATGTGATACCTTTTAGATGTTGAGTTAGATCCCAGTAGAGTTTGGTGTCCAGCACCTGGTTGTGAAACCGTGTGTGAATTCCAGCCTTCTAAGGATGCCAACATTGGAGCTTCAGTTCACTGTTCAAATGTAAGTATTCCTTATTATTTACTTTTACTTACTTTCCTTTTTATTTAATAACAATTATATATAGGAGTTAATTTTCCCTTTTAAGGGTGTTTTCTTTCTGAACAATAAAAAAATGTACTTACAATTTATCCTAATTCTTACAATAGCTTTAAAAATTCTTTAAAAAATGGACTTTAGGTATTTAAATCATTGCTCTTCAGTTCCTGGCCTAATTATTTGATGCACTATAAGATTCTATGTAAAATCTTAATCATCAGGTGATACTATACAGCTATATTGTTTTTATGGAACAGAAACCGGTTTGCACTTGTTTACGTTCCTGTATCACTTTGTTAAATTGAACGGTATATAATATGAATTCGACAATTAGATAAACAAGACAATATATCATATAAATATAGAATATTTATTATACCAGGTATTATAATAATTAGACCAAATTATTAGATGGACTGTAGTTTTTTAATAATTACATGTTTTGCACGAGTTTGTATCGAATACTTTTTATATTTATACATACATGTAATGGGTTTTTATTCAGGAAATTTTTTCTATACTTCTTAATTGTATTTATTTTTAACGTATTGCATTATAATATTAACCCATTGATACAGGTGCTTAAACAAGTGCAAACAATAAAGCTGTGCAGTATCATCTGATAATTAAGATTTTATATAGAATCTTATAGTGCGTCTTATAATTTAGCCAGGGACTGTAAAGTCTGGAATTTTTTTTGTGTAAAAAAAAGCTCATGGAAATTTCTTAGTTGTTATTATTTTCGTATAAAAAGAGCTCCTCTGCCTGAGCGTTAGTATTACAAATGTTAATAAATTACTATTTTTTGTCATTCCAAATAAAATTTTTTAGCCGGCAAATTTTATGAACGATTTCCCTGATTATCCCGATTTAACTCGAGTATGTGTATATATTGCAAATATTTATTATCCCGAGTAAACTCGGACATAGCAGAATTCGTCAATACGTTTTCTTTATAATGTTTTTATTCGGCAGAAAGCAAAACAAAAAATAATAATAGTCTGTTGTGATTGGAAGTTGGTCAATATTTGTTTGGGAGTTTTGCTATTTGTGGGACTGCAGACGTGTTTTCTACAATTGTATATACGATGGTTGATGCATTTACATCAAGAAAAAAAACTGAAAGTAATCCAGATGATTTTTTTAGATGATGAAGATGTGAACACATACAAAGACTAATATGTAACTTTTTTTCATTTGCCCGAGATAATTTGGGATAGTAAACTGATGGTGGATTAAATGTTTTTTACACATGAAAAAAATTAAAATTTCAACTTGTGTATTATGTTTCATTTTAGTTCCTTGTATTTATTAATGAAATTAAAAAAAATCTGATGATTTTTTGCATTTCTTTTTTTAAAAAAAATTGGTAATTGAATCGGTTAAAAAACATGATATTTGATGAGAAAAACTTTTTTAGTATGAAAATCAGCGCAGACAGTGAAACCTTAATTAAGTGGTGAATATTCTTGGGTCTGTTTACGAGAGTTGTCCATTTACTAGAAAAGTTCACTAATAACTAATGCTGTAAATTGTTTTTGGAATAATACTGAATGCCAAAAAACAACACTCGGTAGAAAAACCAATTGCTGTCTGTCCAATTCTCGATGCCTGAAAGCCAAATAATCTGACATAATCGTGGGGAAAATGTGATTGTGCAGAGCAATGAAAGAAATTTTGCTCAAATCAATCTTAGCCAGAGTGATTGTAGGGTAGAATGGGAAAATTTTAACTATTAATTTACTTTTTACTTATGTTTCTTTTTTTTTTCGAAAACATAATAAGCATTTTATATGATGAAATGAATTATCTCGTTTTCAGAGAGAGGAGTTTTAAGAAGGAAATATCAGCAAACAGAAGGTGGTAGGGAAATTTTATAAAAATACATTGCAATGCTTTACTTTTGTGTATTTAATGCTATGAATTCAGTTAGATTGTTCTTATGTTACTAATAATATCTTTCTTTTGATGTAAGAAACTAAAATGTCGAATTTTTATAGTGCAGGTTAAAATTCTGTTCTTTGTGCAAATTAAGATGGCATGGCAGAGCCAGCTGTGAAGAAGCAAAGAAAGCATCCAGTGAAGATTCTGAGTATGTTACTGTTTTTTTAAAATTATTTTTGTAATTTTTATTTTCATAATTTTTAAAGAATTCATTTAAATCCTACCATTTGAAATTTCAAACTTACTGCTGTTAATTTCCTATATAATTGTTATCAATTTGTTTTTTTTTTAATTAGTCCTATAATGTATTATTTTGCTTATTAATGTCGCATAATTGTGTCATGTATAGCATAATTCTGGCTTAATTAAAATACAATTGAAATTAAAATTAATTTGTTTTCTTTTAATTAGTCCTATAATATATTATTTTGCTTTTTAATGTCGCATAATTGTGTCATGTATAGCATAATTCTAGCTTAATTAAAATGCACTATAGTAATGGAAAAGGCACTTTCAAATTTCATCTTTTAGTTTGTCCATGAGTGATGAAGAGAATTGGATAAAACAGTGTCCCAACTGCAGAATTCCCATTGAGAAAGACGAGGGATGTGCTCAAATGATGTGCTATAGATGCAAACATGTTTTCTGCTGGCATTGCCTTGCTTCCCTCGATGTAAGTATATATATATGTGTTACGATCGATGTAATTCATAATATTCATAATAATATTCATATAGTAAATATTCTCCGGTTATTCATAATAAGATATAAGAAAGTTGGTTAAAGGGAATACTGTAACATTTACTGGTTATAATTAATAATGAAGTTAGGTCAATGTAATAAATATCAATGCATTTGGCTTGAAATTTCCAATAGTTTCCCATGTTATCAGCTGTTCAATTTAGAAGCTTTGCAAATTTTATACTACAATTTATTAATTTTCTACCCTGGTGGCTCAGGGGATAGAGCCTTCTAATAAAGTGTACCAGGTTCAAATCCCATCCAGCTTGAATTCCGCATCCAGCTTGCACCGATCATAGTGCTGATTTGAAATATCCTCAGTGATCATGGGTTAGAGTCCCCTTGCTGTCAGGCTAAATATGAGAGGTCTTCTTGTTTTCCTATTTGTGTTGCACAAATGCAGGTTAATTCCATCAAAAAGTCCTCCACGAAATCAAATTTCTCCCAATACAACATTTTTAGACATTATTGTACAACATTTTTAGAACTTATAGTACTAACAAACATTATTTCTCAACATTATGACTAAGACTTTAAGTACTAAATTTACTACAGTCATGTTTATCCCTATTATAGTAAATTTGCCTCTCTTTTTAAAATCAGGCTCTGTTTGTCGTTTATTCTAATTAATTATTCTTTCATACAAAATGTGTTTCATTTTTAGAACTTATAGCACTAACAAACATTATTTCTCAACATTATGACTAAGACTTTCAATACTAAATTTAGTAGTATAATAGTGCTTATCTAGCTACTTTACCTTTCACTTGAAGAAAATTGTACTAAATTTTTTTCCAGGATGATTTTCTCCTCCGCCACTATGATAAAGGACCCTGCAGAAATAAATTGGGACACTCTAGAGCCTCCATGATATGGCATCGAACTCAGGTAACTTCACCTTTTCTTTTTATTTCAACCGTTATATTTCTTATGAATCAAGTTCAAAATCTTTCAAGATTCTTAACATTTCATTCTAATGAGAAGATTTTTTTATTTTTAAAAAAGAAAATCGGTTTTGCTTCAAAATTATAATTGTTTTTTCTTTTTTAAATTTCATGAAACTTTCTTTCATTTTTGTTTAGATTATTTAATTTTTGTTCCATATTTTTTTAATTATAATTATTCTGAAGCTGCTATGCTTTATTTCAGTTATGCAACATAACAGTATTTTCAATATTTTTTTATGTTGTGTTTTTGTTGTTTTAAATTCTTAAAAACTGCTTATAATTATAAATTTAAAAAACTTAAAACTCACAACTTAAACCTCTAGTAAATACAGACTTTTCACTTTAAATATAATAAGAAATTTTCAGTTAATTTCACTTTTTCTTTTTTTTATTTAAACCATTATGACTGAACTGATGAATCAAGTTCAAAATCTTAAAAATCTTTAAACATTCTTAACATTTCATTCTAATGAGAAGATTTTTTTTTATTTAAAAGAAATCAGCTTTTCTTCAAAATTATTTTCTTTTTTTAAATTTCACATAACTTTTTTTCATTTTCATTTAGATTATTTAATTTTTGTTCCATATTTTCTTAACTTTACTCATTATTACTTTCTTCTGAAGCTGCTGTGCTTTATTTTAGTTATGCAACATAATTGTCCTTTCAATATTTTATTTTCTATTGTGTTTTTGTTGTTCTAAATTCTTAAAAACTGTTCATATTTTGTTTTACATTAAAAAATCTTAAAATTCACTACTTAAACCTCTAGTAAAAACAGACTTTTCACTTTATGTGTAATAAGAAATTTTAACGAGAAATGACGAACACTCTATACATAATGTCTTATTCATGAAAAAAGTCTCTGTTTAACATTTATCATATTTTTCATTATTCAAAACTTTGTTATTTCACATCAATTCTTTCTATCACTACATGAAAAAATTTGTTTCTGATGTAGTGACCTCTTTCTTGAATATTTAAAAACCGTAAATAAAGGTAGTGTTTTATACTTGAAGTAGAAAGGGTTAGAAAAAGTAGAAGATTATTGTTTAAAAGTCAATTGATATGTTTGGATCGTCCAGATGCAGACCTATTTTGTTCATCATCTTTGTTAAGCCAATATTTGTTTTTGCTGCATGTAATTACTATTTGAATTGCTAAATTATTAAGTTTTTTTGTAAATCTCCTATTTTAATTAAAGTAGTTATCATTTACACTTAAGATGTTGTCACTATTCTCTCTTTAATATACTCAAATTGAATATATATTGTACCGTGCACAGCGGTTCGTGTCGGTTGGAGATTAATAAACCATTCCTTACGACTCTAAAAATTTATTAGTAAAATCTTCCAGCAAATACTGCAATTTTCAGCACTCAATTGCAGTACAAATAAGTGGCAAGTACACAACAAATCACAGGCTCTGAAACCTCAGGTACTTCAAAAGAGAACCTCAAATTAATTATTGCAGTCATAAACAGACTATATTCTCTCCTATTCTACTGTGAGGCACATTCCTGTTTATATAGGCTTGGTGTCAAAGCCCCGGAACTTCCTAGATGATTCTCCCATAACTCCGTAAATATTGGTCCAATGCTTCAAAACTCTATTTTTTCTGAACTATAATTTTGTCGCCAAGAAAGTCAGTAAAAATATCGCCAAACCGAATCTTCTATTAGAAATGCATTAAGCGTTATTTTCTCTCTTAATTAGGTTAGAATTATGCAAATTTCTTGCAAATTTTCTTACGTATTATTTATTTAAAGTCTGTCTGAGATATTTAGCCTCATAACCAGAGATGATTGTGCTGCGAAAAAATCCGGTTTTTTCGCTAACCGCGACCCAGAGGTTTCTGGAAATCCAAGGTCTAGAAGTTTCAAGAAATCATCAATCACATTTATTCATAAAAAGTCTTGCATATTGTATTTAAAAAGATTAGAACGATAATTTATGCTTTGCATCTCTTTCATTTGTAAATATTTTTTCTGGTAGAATAATAAATGTGATTAGAGATGAAAGTAAACTTATACATAACTATTCATTTTAATTATGCTGCATATTATTTATTTATAATTTCATGTTTTGAAAATATCAATGATTCAAATTATAAAAATATTAATTTTTTGAAATGCGTCATTAATTAATTCCTCAAGAAATTTTCAGGATTTTTGAGTTGGGCATGCAATCACCCCTGCATAACAAAAGAGTATTCGCAAAATTATTATTATTATTATTTTTTTAACGACAGGCACTGAACTTTCGTTCTTCGCCTAGGAAGATGCCGGAGGTGTTACTCATTTAACGTTACCCAGTGGGCACCTGTGAACCTAAGTCACGGAGGCGAGCAACATTACCAACGCCACACTGCCACATGCCCGTTTAGAGGATGGGCCACATTCACACATCACACAATAGAGAACACACACACAGAGAAACATCCATGCCCTGAGCGGGATTCGAACCCGCAACCCTTGGCTTCACAGTCAGGCACGCGGACCGCTCGGCCACCTGGCCAGCATTCACAACGTTATACACATGCATACAAATTCATAACAGTATGTTAAAATTGTACTCAGATGTTTTATTTTGTTATTTAATCTTTAAATTTCTTACTAAAAATCCGTAAAATATTCAAAATTAGATCTCTGTTTTTTATTTTATTTATTCATTAAAGCAAAACCCATTTTGTAGGTGATTGGAATCTTTGCTGGATTTAGTTTCCTCCTCCTCATGGCTTCGCCATTCCTTTTGATTGCAGCACCTTGTCTTCTGTGTTGTAGGTGCAAGAATAAGATTTTGTATGATGAAGCAACCAAACTGTGAACTTCTTGACTAGTCATTTCTTTTATTATATTTTTAACTGTGATAAACAATTGGTGAATCATTCTGTCCAACGCACCTACACAATTGTTGGAATTAATTATTAATTAGGTGTAGTTGACCTGCATTGCTATCTCAATCATATAATGTTTCTTGATGCCATTCATAAAATCAAAAACGTAAATTTATTAATTGTGTATCAGCCATTTTTATCAAGATTAATTTCTTTCATTTCATAAAAATTGTTGAGGGATGGTGTATCTCATAAATGTTTTTTTTTAATTACAATATGTTTGAAGCAGTGGTTGGCAACCTGAGACCAGTGGGTCACCTAGTGACCCACTTCGAAAATATCCAATTATCCCATTTTATTTACTAAAATAATGCATAATCTCATGATGTGACACAACAACAAACTGATTTGTAAAAAAAATTTAAAAAAATTTAAAATGACACATTTAAAAAAATTGTTGCCCACCACTGGTCTACAGTAAGAGATTTTTAAGATCCACTTTGACTTTTTAGTAACTCCTAAAATAATATAGGGTGCCCACAAAAAATGTGTTACCACTTTCTTGACTTGTGTAGAACTACAGCTATACATATCAAGTGGTATCTAGGTGTAGTAAAATTGACTATGTGCTCCAAAATGACTTTTGAAAACACCACCTTCTGGGAAACTGTTGAGTCAACATTTCAATCTTGAAAATTATGTAAGTTGGAATGTAAAGATTAAATACAAAGTTGTAGAACATCATCATTATGAATGAAACATAAATGCTTTGGCTTGAAAACACATTTTTTAAAAGTTTAGAATGCCCCACATTGTTTTTTGCTTCATCAGTGCTTCTTTACAAGTTTATAATTCCCATTTGTACCATATCTGATTTTGTTTTGTGACTTTAACACACATTCCACAGTTTCTCCATGAGTGGTGTCCATAACCACTTTTACAACTGTAACTGCGTTTGTCCATAAATCATGATTGCGTGGGCACCCTGTGTTTAATTGCATAGACGCTATCTTAACTTCATACTCTGAAGTTTTTCCTATTATAAATATTTCCTGGCATTTGTATATTTTATCATTACATTAGGATTTTTTCTTTCCCAAATAAAATCGAGGAGTTTTATTTGCTTTTCTAATAATTAAATTTAGTGATTTATTATGTCAAATAATTGTGTTTAAACAATAAGAGAAGCCATTTTTTGTACAAACTTATCATCAGAAAGTGACGATGTAATTATTCCCTAAGGGCGGAAAATTTATTCTTTCAAATCTGCTGGATTTTTTTTTTCTTTTTATGCAATTTGCAAGTTTTATCATGTGTTCTTTGTTTATTTTCTTCTTGTGTCATTTTATTATTTTTTCTTTATTTTGTGTGTGTGTGTGTTTTTTTTTTTGGATTTCTAATAGTTTTTTTAAGGTTTTCAATTTTTTTAAGTAGTAGGTTTCTTACTGAAAAAATTAAAGACCATGGCATTGCAAGCAACCAACTTACATTCAGTTATATTATATTCTAACACATTTGTAACAAGAACAAAGTATTGGATGAACCCAAGTCGGGGGAAATATTAAAGATGTATCATATAAAAAAAATAAACTAAAAAAATATTTAAAAAGAGGTTATTTTTTTATTTATATTGTTCATCAATTATCTTTCTCTGCCAAATGTTTAACAAGTGATAATACTCAATCTTATTATTGATCCATTCGTGGGCCAAATTAAGCACAAAACTGTTCTTAAGGCACATCTTTTTTCTTGTAAACAAATGTTTTTTATTATATATATATATAATTCATTGGATAGTGTATTTATACAGCAGAAACTAGATTGTGAGGAAACGTCAGAAGCATATCAATATAAAATAGCAAATAATGACTTGAAAAAGCATGATCAGAAATTAAGATGTAACTTACTCAAAAACTAATAATTTACTATAAGTATAAAAAGAGGCGTGGTGGCTCAGGGGATAGAACGTTCACCCTCCAATGAAGTGAATCGGGTTTGAATCCCAGAGATGGCCGATCGATATGAATTCCGCTTGATCCGATTCCGAATGATCCAATCACCCACCTTGCACCAACCATGATGCTTAAGTAAAATATCCTCAGTGGTAGACGGATCACAAATAAAAGTCCCCTTGCCTTCAGGTTAACCGTGGGAGATTTTCATGGTTTTGCTCTCCATCAAAAAGACCTCCACGAAGGCAAATTTCTCCCAATACTCGATGCAGGAGTTCCCTTGTTTTCTGGATTGGGTTCAAAATTACAAGGTTAGGGAGTTAAGTATTAGTATTTTCAGACCCGAAAAATAGGGTCAGCTATTCAGGTTATTAAATATAAGTGTAAAAAATTTTTATCAAAAAAATTATGCATTTCCTGAGAAAAAGTTATGATGCGAAGTTAGGATTAAATGATTTATTTATTTATTTAAATTAAACAGGAATGGTTCAAAAGCGCTATTTTATTCTTAACGCAAACAATAAATTTTCAACGTTTGTAACTTTTCCTGTAAATTCTGTGCAACAGGTTTCTCATGATTTCAAAGGCTTCTAGGCCTTCTGCAGCTGTTGGCATGGGTTGTTTCATTTTAAACGTCTTCATTGGTTTATGTTTTTATTATGACATTTTTCAGTGCTTATACTATTAGATTTACTGTAATATGAGTTAGATGTTCAGCTCACCAAAAAAAAAAAAAANTTAAAAGACAAATTAACTGAACAAATAGTATAATTTAAAATGTGATATTCAAAATTGACCATCATTTTTCTAATGCTTTAGATAACTCCAAATTTATGTTTATTAGTTTTTGTTAGCTTACAACAGAAACATGCTTTCATTAACATGTCAGCATTAATATAAATATACCTTTCATAATACGTAAAAAATGTGTAATAAAACTGATTTTTAATTATAATTTCTGCACGATCTAAATGGGTATTATTATAAAAATAGTATTTAACTTAAAAGTCTGTTTGTGGAAATATATGCGTAGGTATGAACAAGAAAGCGACAACTGTTGAAATATATTCTCAATAATTTTTTAATGCCCTCCTGGGTTGACATTTCCTCGATTCAGATGTATTGGCCACTCTTTCAGAGACACCATGTGAAGTGAACCAACACTGCTTCCACAATAAGGGGAAGTAGTTCAGAGGGAAAGAAAAGAACATCCATGCCTTGTCCGGGATTCGAACCTAGAACCTTTCTGATGCAAGGTAAGTTTGGTGACCCCTACGCAGTCCGGTCAGCCTATTCTCAATCAGTGCAGTGCCCCCTCATTCGAGAGGAGGAACATTTCCATGAATTTTGTGAACAAAAGAGTGTATTGTGTCTTCATTTGGGTCATTCTCACAAAAACAGTCATTTTCATGTCCCCAGTATATTTTATGTTTGTTTTACAGCTTACGGAAGAAAAAAAAATTCAGAATGCAAGCTAACAAAAGAATAAAAATAAAATTATCAATTTTTTATTTATTTTAGGTGATTAAAATATACCAATATGTCATTCCCTCACTTGTCCCCACTGCTGATTTAAAAAAAGAAAAAAATTGTTTCTGAAATAAAATAAAAATTTTTACAAATTCGTGTTTTTTTTTCTTCAGAATACTGAAATATAGAATTCAGAAAATCAATTTTAAATTTAATTTCTGATAAAAATATTAACACAGCACTATTTTAAACTTTGTCCCCAGTGTTTCGCGTCATTCCCTCACAACAATGTTCTTATCACCTGACATATTCTTAGAATAAAAATATTTTAATAAAAACTTCAGAAGTTAACAACTGGCATCATAGAACAAAATTGCAGTATGTTTCCATCTTCAACTTAAAGAAGCCTTGCTGTTGAATAAATTTGAATGAATCAAACCAGGTGAAATTTTTTACATTTGTCATTCCCTCATGTCATTTTTTAGAGTAAAATAAAATACAACTTCATCGAGAAAGTGGATAATTATATGTTGCTTTCTTGTATGAATATAATTGTATGTGATTGACTTCAGAAATTAATTAGGCCTAACTGTTATTTTTAAATTTTATTGAATTCGTCATTCCCTCACTAGTGTATAAAGTGAGGGAATGACGCTGAAGTGAGGGAATGATTCAAGATGAGTATATTATTAAATTTTTTTTTGTTCAATCGTGCCAGCCAATTTTATTTCCCAAACCTGTAAAAACTATTAAATATATAAGACTAAATTATAATAAATATTAGATATACTTAGTATGTTATCATTTTCAAACTTTAGGTAGATGTAACTTAGATAAAAACATGTATTAAAATAAAATATCATTCCCTCACTATTAGTGTCATTCCCTCACTTTTTAAATAGTGAAAATAATTAATTTACTTATTAATTAATTTGAAAAATAAATTAAAAAATTAATAAATTAATTTATTAAATTAATTTATTTATTTATTAAATTAATTAATTAATTATTATAAATTAATTCATTATAAATTAATTATTTAAAAAATTAATTAATTTAAATATTAAGTATATTTTATAGGATATATACTTTCTTTATAATGCCATTACATATTTCTATTAATATAAAAAGTTTCAGAGCTTTATATTCACTTTACTTTTTCGGGATTTTATGAACTGAAAAATGACAGTTTTCGTGAGAATGACCCATATACGCAAACAAGGTAGGTAAGTACTTTATTTACGCCGCACTAGACTGCACAACGGGCTATTGGCGACGGTCTGGGATGGCTCCACTGCTTTGGTCGCCCGACGACCTGCGCGCGAAGTAGTGCACTTTACGGTAGAACAGTTTAACGAGGACCCATACCTCACACCCTCGGTCCCTACTCAGACTGATCAAAGTGGTCGCCCACCCGCTTACTGAACGCAGCCAGTGATGCTTGACTTCGGTGTTCTTCTGGGGAACCCTGTTGTTACTATCACTCCACTGCGGGACCCCAAACAAGGATTATAAACTGTCTCATTTTAAACTAATACACATATGTGCGAAAGTATCGAAGGCATCATCTCCGACTAACAATAACGCGGCTGGAATTCTGATCAGTGTTCCTCAGCAAAAGGTGTCGTTGAAATAGGATAAAATAAATTGTACTCAACAGTCTTTTTAAACGCGGTTCCGCGGCATTGGACTGATTGTAAAGACACAATTCCCAGTAGAACACCGAAGTCAAGCATCACTGTCTGAGGTTAGTGACCACTTTGATCAACCTGCGTAGGGAATGAGGGTGCACGGTATCGGTCCTTGTTAAACTGTTCTATAGTAAAGTGCTCGACTTCGTGCGCAGATCATCGGGCTACCAAAGCAGATAATCAAAATTGCCGTGGGCATGACTTCAGATCATCCTCAGGGATGTTTCCCGGGCCGTTGCCAATAGCCCATTGTGCACCCCTAGTGTGACGTAAATAGAGTACCTAGGTACCTTTTTAAAGGTTTATTGTTGAAATTGAAATTACATACATTTGCTGACTTGTGTGCTCAATATATAGGCTTATAAGTCATTGTCAAGTAGAAAATACAGATAGAACAATTCAGAGAAAGACATCACAAAGAATACATCCAGGGTTACGGCGGGATTCGAACCCGCTACCTCCACGCTTAACAGAGCGTTTGGACCGGCGATACCGCTCGGCCAGGGAGGCCCCTNCTTTTTAAAGGCTTTGCCACATAATTAAATGTTCACAGACAGACGGACAAATACTTTTTTTCAGACAATTTTGATAAAAGATTATGAAACATTTCTCGTTAAACCTGAGATGTTCGTTAAGAACGAGTGCAACTGTAAATAAATATGTGTGTGTGTATATATATATATATATATATGCACATACATACTGAGATGTATACATGGCATCCAAAGAATATGGAAAATTGTCAGCTATCTTGAGAAACATATATTATAAAACTGCATTAAATGATACAAAAATTTCACATCCTATGGAAATAGGAACCCCCATTGCTTTATGACTGATTTATATATATTCAGATATCGTCTACCCTTATTTTTATGAGTGTTTAGTTCACGAAGAGTGTTGCAAATGAAGTCACGTGGTATCCGACGATACTATTTCGCTATTTTTGGGAGAAGGATGTGAACAAGGTTGATATTTAGCTTTCGTATGACAAAAATATTTATTTAGCAATCTTAATGTGCATTTTTTTAACGTTAAATATTTCATAAATTTCATGATATTTCTCGCTTTTGAGGGAATAGTTTGTCCTTTTCGCGACATTTAGCTGGGAAAACAGCAGCTTTTAAATTTAAAATACATTTAATTAACTAAAGTAACGAAAGGTATAATAGCAGATGATAAAGAGAAATAAGTTGGAGCGCATTAAGGGTTTTCTCAATTTAAAGCGCGGAGATGCTTCTCCTCTTACTTCCGCTCGCTGAAATGAACTGAGCGGGCGAAGAGATAGAGCCAAGTGCAACTCCTGTTGAACGAACTATACGCATTGTTTAAAATTGAGATATCTTGAGAAATATATATTAGATCGACAAGAATAGTCATGTTCGAACACTTTAGGACTGTGAATTTTGTGCCACTATTTTCATACTTTTTGGGCAACTTGTTATTGCAATAGCCAAAGGTGTTCAGATAATGCATGCATTTGATGGTGCAAGGTG